CTGTACCTTTTAGAGCTAAAGAAAAGTATTCAGGATGAGTTTTATTTTTTGGGAAATTGGAACTCCTCTGATCAAACACCATGTGGTTGGATAGGTGTAAATTGCTCTTCTGGTTATGCTCCAGTGGTCAAAGGTCTTAATTTAAGTTTCCTGAATCTGTCAGGAGTCCTCAGCCCTAGCATTGGTGGTTTGGTTCATCTAACTTTTCTTGATCTTTCACACAATGATTTCTTGGGAGGCATGCCCAAGGAGATTGGAAACTGTTCGGGTTTGGAACAACTTTATCTGAACGATAACCAGTTTACAGGCCAAATACCTGTGGAGGTGGGTAAGCTGTCAAATTTAAGAAGTTTGAATATTTGTAATAACAAAATCAATGGTTCTCTTCCAGAGGAGCTTGGGAACTTGTCTTTACTGGTTGATTTTGTGGCATACACCAACAATATTACGGGTTCAATACCCCCATCTTTTGGAAATCTCAAGAATCTGGTAACTTTTAGAGCTGGGCAGAATGCTATTTCTGGTAGCATGCCAGCCGAAATAGGTGGATGTAAGAGCTTGAAACTGCTTGGTCTTGCCCAAAATGCTATAGGGGGGGAATTGCCTAAGGCGATTGGGATGCTTCAGAGCATGACAGATATGATTCTGTGGGGTAACCAGGTATCTGGGCCTATACCAAAGGAGCTTGGAAATTGCACTAGCCTTGAGACTATTGCTTTGTATCAGAACAATCTTGTGGGGCCTATACCTCCAGAACTTGGGAAACTGAAGTCATTGAAGAAATTGTACATCTACAGGAATGGCTTGAATGGAACCATTCCACGGGAAATTGGAAATCTTTCTTTTGCAACTGAGATTGATTTCTCGGAGAACTATTTGATAGGTGAGATCCCAACAGAGTTAAGTAAGATAAGAGGTCTAAGCTTACTGTACCTTTTCCAGAACCAGCTAACAGGTGTGATTCCAAATGAACTGAGTAGCTTGAGGAACTTGACAAAGCTTGATCTTTCAATGAATTACCTCAAAGGTCCTATTCCAGATGGGTTTCAATATTTGACTGAACTGTACCAGTTACAGCTGTTTAACAATTCTCTAACCGGTAGCATACCTCGGTGGCTTGGACTTCACAGTGGACTTTGGGTAGTTGATTTTTCCGATAACTTTCTGACAGGAAGAATACCTCCATATCTCTGTCAACATTCCAATCTAATTTTGTTGAACCTAGAGGCTAATGATCTTAATGGAAATATTCCACCTGGAGTCTTGAACTGTAAATCATTAGTGCAACTTCGTCTAGTTGGAAACAGGCTAACTGGGAGCTTTCCTTCGGAGTTATGCAATTTGCCCAACCTTTCTGCAATTGAGTTGGACCAGAACAAATTCACTGGTCCAATTCCTCCAGAGATTAGGAACTGCCAAAAGTTGCAAAGGCTTCATATTTCAGACAATTACTTTACATCTGAGTTGCCAAAGGAAATAGGATATCTGTCTCAATTGGTGACTTTCAACATATCATCCAATTTGCTCACCGGGCGGATTCCCCCTGAAATTGTTAACTGCAAGATGCTTCAACGACTTGATCTCAGTCGGAATCGATTTGTAGACGCTTTGCCAAATGAGCTGGGAACCCTTTTGCAATTAGAGCTTCTCAGGCTTTCAGAAAATAATTTCATTGGAAACATACCAGCAGCACTAGGAAACCTCTCCCATTTGACAGAGTTGCAGATGGGTGGCAACTTGTTTTCTGGTGAAATACCACCAGAATTGGGTTCACTTTCAAGCTTGCAGATTGCAATGAATCTCAGTTTTAATAATTTCACTGGGAGAATACCACCAATGCTTGGAAATCTTAATTTACTTGAATTCCTGCTACTCAATAACAATCATTTGACTGGTGACATTCCCAGCTCATTTGAGAATCTGTCGAGCTTAATGGGCTGCAACTTCTCATACAATGACCTTACTGGACCTTTACCTCCCATCCCACTGTTTCAGAACATGGCAATTAGCAGCTTTATCGGGAACAAAGGTCTTTGTGGCGGACCTCTCGTTGGTTGCAGTGTAAATCCGTCTCTTCATTCTGTTCCATCTCTGGAAAGTGGGGGTACTCGACGCGGTAAAATTGTTACAGTAATTGCAGGTGCCGTGGGAGGTGTTTCTCTTATTCTCATTGCTATTATCTTATATTTCATGAGACATCCAGGTCAGACAGTTCCTTCCTTGCAAGATAAAGATACTCTATCTCCTGATATGGATATGTACTTGCCTCCAAAGGAGGGATTCACATTCCAAGATCTAGTTGAGGCGACAAATAACTTTCATGAAAGCTATGTTATTGGAAGGGGAGCTTGTGGAACCGTTTATAAGGCAGTAATGAGAACTGGACAGACAATTGCTGTTAAGAAGCTATCATCGAACCGGGAGGGCAACAACATTGAAAACAGTTTCCAGGCTGAGATTTCGACTTTAGGAAATATAAGGCATCGAAATATTGTGAAGTTATATGGATTCTGTTATCACCAGGGTTCCAATCTTCTTCTTTATGAGTACATGGCAAAGGGTAGCTTGGGTGAATTGCTTCATGGTGCCTCTTGTAGCTTGGACTGGCCAACTCGTTTTATGATTGCCCTTGGAGCTGCCGAAGGTCTTTCTTATTTACATCATGACTGCAAACCCAGGATTGTCCACCGTGATATAAAGTCCAATAACATTTTGCTAGATGAGAAATTCGAAGCCCATGTAGGTGATTTTGGTTTGGCAAAAGTGATTGATATGCCTTATTCAAAATCAATGTCAGCAGTTGCAGGATCATATGGATATATTGCTCCTGGTAAGCTTCCCATTTGTTCTTCATTATTTACTTAAATAGTTACTGAATTGCCATTTACTCCGAGAATACTGCTGAAGAACAAGTATTCTTTAAGGCTGAAAGAACTAATTTCTAGTCTCTCTAAGACCAATATTCCCCCCCTCTTTTCCCTGATGATTTATTTTGGTGATTCTTTTAATGTTGGGACATCTTTTCTTACATATTGTAAAGTAAAAATAGAAATCAATTTTCCTCCATGTTGGTAGATAATGTTACAGCTACAACTTGGTTGTTGAGGATATGTAAGAAGAGGGAAATTGAAAGTTCAAGCATTAAATTTTAAATTCTTTGTTATTTGGAAACCTCTTTCTTAATCCCTCATTTTGTCGTTGGAACCCTTGAATAAGAACGTAAGCAGCAGAAATAATCTGGTTAGGATATTTTATTCTTTTCCTAGTCTCTTTTGAAAGGTGCCAAGGGGCCATCACCAAAGTTAAGAAGCTGTCTACAAAAATTTAAAAACTAAAGACAAAACAACACCTAGAAAAGAATTAAAAGATAAGGGAGGAGCCTTATGTGTCCCCTAGGAAACTCATTTGTGGATTGGCTTGATGTGTGCATATTGATTTATGTGTTTTTTATCCATGTACTGAGAAACATGATAACTTCTCATAAATAAATGGATATATGTCAACTTATCTACGAGGTGCTTGCCCCAATGGCTGGCTGTGGCTGACTTGTTAAATTTGTACTTTTTGGATTTTCATTTGTTTACTCTTCCCTTTCTCTCTCTGCAGTTGCTTAGTTCATTCCTGTTTATCATTTTTAGAGTCAATTTTTTTATTGAATGGTTGATAATGTTACTCTTCTTCATGGCAGAGTATGCGTACACCATGAAGGTTACAGAAAAATGCGATATCTATAGCTACGGCGTCGTTCTATTGGAGTTGCTAACTGGAAGAACTCCTGTACAGTCACTAGATCAAGGGGGTGATCTTGTCACCTGGGTGAGGCATTATGTTCAAGACCATTCATTGACATCTGGGATACTTGATAGTCGGTTAAATCTTCAGGACAGAAGTATTGTTGATCACATGCTTACTGTCTTAAAAATTGCTTTGATATGCACAAGCACGACGCCTTTCGACCGTCCTTCAATTCGAGAAGTTGTGCTGATGCTTACTGAGTCTAATGAGCAAGAAGGGGACTTTATTCCATCTCCAACTTATGATCTTCCTTTGAAAGTTGATACAGATCTTCCGAAGGATGATGAAGATCTTCCTTTGAAAGACAACACCCGACATCCTCCTTCGAAAGATGATACCTGATGAAAGTATACGACACATCCCTAGATTTTAGTAACTCAGATGATTTTTTTGGGTGCTGATTCTTCCTCGAATTATTTGCAACAAGGAAATGGTAATATCTTGTACATTTTCCAACTAGAAATATGAATACTGGAATTTTCCTTTCTAATTTGTGAGGGTATTCAAAGTTGCTCTCAAAGTTTGTTTCTTTTCTTACTATACAGTGTATACAGTATAGTAAAAATCAGTGTACAGTTATGCTATGTGCATTTTAAATGGCATTATGTTCACTTTTAAATCTTAATCCATTGAATAACAAAGAAGCCTGAATTTAACTTTTGTCATCAATTCAAAGCTACAGATTTTGTGGTCACATTTTGTAATTTGATTTTTTTTTCTTAATAAATTTAAAAATAAGAAAAAGTAGGCTTGGGCTTCAATGGGGCACAAGGCCTGCCCTGAAGTGATCAGTATTTCTCCAATCCAAAATTTTCACAAACCCAATCAACTATGGCGTTGCCTTCAAGTTTGAATCCAAAAATTCGAACTCGAACCGAATCGGACTGATCCAAAAATTCCACTTGGTACATTGTACAATAAAGTGAAGAGAAGTAAAGTTATATTAATAGCAAGTTGAAATCCATCCCCCATTTAGTTGTGGCCTATAAACTACAACTTGGTAGATATAGTGCAGTTACGTGAATGAGCTAGACCATGGTATTTGTTTGCAGTTTATTATCATAGGGTTTGATGTAACGCAAGGTTTAAAGGGATTGTATACAAAACAATTACATTACCAATTGCAAAGCATCAAACTTTAAATTCAAAATCAATGTACTGGATAAAATCAGCATTCTTGCACATTCATAGCCTAATGGAATGGCCTAGGGGTTGATGAACTTGCCCGACTGGACCGGCCATGGATAACAATTCTGATCATGAAAACAAATGCCAAGAAAATAAACAGTCCAATAACATTTGCTACATCCATCTCTATCTGCTCTGTAGACATCGTAGTAATGAAACTCTCTTGACCATCTAAAGCTGCAAAAGAACAGTGTGGTTCCAAAAATATTTTGCCTAAAACGAAACTCAAAGCTCTCCCCAGGATGAAGTACGCGATCGCCAAGATCATCGTCCTTGGATTTACAATGAACAACGAGGTCTCCGTAGACTCCCAAGGCGTTGGTGATTCGGACAGTTCTTTTTTTAGGAAGGAGACCAGCCTCAACGGATATTATGAGAGCTACTAGCATAAGCAGAATCAGAGGAAGAACACTTGACAAATATCGACTCATTTTTTTTAACGTGGGAAAAATTTCGAGATGTGTACATATGGTTGAGTCTAACCTTATATAAATTCATAATTTGCATCCTAGACTATTTCAGCGAAAGGTGAATTTGAAGAGATGGTGGGTACATTCTTTTGGCATCCCACCACCTCTGAGAATTTAACATTCCATTATAATGATCAATTAATTAGAAGAACTGTTACATAAAAATACCCTAAACGCTCTCCAAGAAGAAAACCCTAAGGAAAGAAACCTCAGCCGCCTCAGCTACGTAAAAAATTAATTGTCATCAATAATTATTATCGCTTTTTCTTAAAAAAGAAAAAAGAAAAAAAGGATAAAAAAGAAAATCCCCTCAAGAATTGATTATTGAAGATATGAAATTATTATTTAATATTCATGATGAACCAGAATTACATGGTGTCATGATGGTTGAGTTGTTCAATATAAAACCTTACTGAAGTAGGGATACTAGCTCAAGAATTGATTTATGAGTCATGCCACAGAAAGCACTGACCATACAAACACGGGCCAACTTTTTTAACCGTCCAAAAGCATTTGCTACATTCATCCCTTTTTTGAGAGTAGATGTCAAAATAGTGAAGTTTGGGATCCCCAGGCCATCGAAATCCGCAGAAGAATAGTGTGCTCGCCTGAAAAAAGTTTCGTCCAAAACTAAATTCATATGTCTCCCCCGGATGCAGCAGGTGCTCGCCGAGATCGTCATCCTTGGATTTACAACGAACTGTGAGGTCCAGGTTGTCTTCCAAAGTGTTGGTGATCCGAACCGTTATCTTTTTAGGTGGGTTAGACGACTCAACTACTGTTGTCATATGAACAACTAGTAGTAGCAGCATCAGCGGAAGAACACATGTTGCAGTGAAAGATGGACTCATTTTGCTCGGGGGGAGAAAAGGTTATTTTTCTCTCTATTTTATAGTGAGTGTCCAAGGCGACATGCAATTCATAATCATTTGTTTATGGTTCATCCAACCTAGAATGAGTAACTCATTTCATAATTGATGATTGTTCAGTGTACCTGGTAAAGATGCAGATTATTTTTTCCAATCTCCATGTATGAATGCCATTCGAATTCAAAAGGTTGGTCCCAGAATTCGACCCCATTGGAAAGAAAAAACAACCAAGTGTGGCATAAATTTTGTAATTTCTATATTAAATTAAAACATATTCAATATATTTTCTTTTTTGTTGGATCTAAATATTTAATGTAATTAATAATAAATTTAAGGAGAATACAATTTCACCTAATTAGCATAGAGTGCTGCTATTTCTACCTCTCTATCCTATTTTCCCACACATCTTATCTTTCCACCCACCATGTAAATTTGAAAAACCACAATCCTATCTTTCCACCCACCATTATTCCTAAAATACAATTTAATTATTAATTTATGCAAATTCTTTATATTTTTTAGTGGAAACGATGTATTTATTTCAATAAAACTGAAACCGATATCCTCCTCAACCAACAAGTTCTTGATGAAAGCAGGAGGGTCCTTATCCCATGAGAACATGTCAATTGATGAAATAGCGAAATATGCAAGACTATGTGCCATTGTATTGGCATCTCTAGAAGCAAAACAAACTGAAGAATTTTTAGTTGCGGAAACAAAAAAACGAGTCTTCAATTGACACTCCTATTGATGAGTTGTCTGCAATGTGCATGAGCACATTGAATAGCTTCTGTGCATGAGCAGAGGTGCAACTTCAGCAGCTTCTGTGGAGTTTTCTGGCGACCGGAGGTGCAGGTGCACCTCCTTGCGCTTGCACAGGTTCATCAATTTTGGCGCGTTGGGGACATGGAGTGAATATGTGGCGCTTTCTATGTCATTTTCCGGAGGAAGATTAGTGGCGTTTGTTCTTCCTTTTGTCGGTGTGTTTTAGATTTTTAGTCTTTGTCTTTTTTCGGTCAATAAAGTCCAAAAATTCTATGAGTATTCTGTGTATTTTTTTCTCTCATAGTGCCAGAAACTAATTAGTTGAGTTGGATGGGTGTTCTTAGTCTCTTTAGGAGAGTCATACCGATTATTGGCAAGTTTTGTCCTTGATGTCATTAGACTAGATTCGAGAGAAATATGGTGGTAAAAAGGGGTTATAGAAAAGTTATTATCGAGAGTGATTCTCTAGATTGTTTCAGCTTTTCGGTTGGCTCATGTCATTAGGGAAGTTTTTATCCATGTCTGCCATATTGCTATTGGGATGACTCCCTTTACTATCTATATCTTTTATACTCCTTTTTCTTATGAATTTAATAGAATTCTATTGTCTTTTTATAAAAAAATTACAATACAATATGGCTGGTTTAAACGACACTATTTAAGAGGCCTTTTTATTTTATTTTATTTAAAAACGTGCCCCGAGTATTTTTTGGATAAAAAGGAAGTTGTTAGGATTATACCATTAAAGGACTGAACATGCCAAAAGCAAAATGGAAAGCTACATTAAATAGTGTCGTCGTGCCCTCCCTTTCAATTATCACATGTATTATACATATTTCTAATTCATTTTCATTCCATCCATGGAGTAAGAATTTAATTTGAGGCCTCTTCGTTTGGAATATAAAATGCTTATATTTGGAGACAAAAATAGCCTTGTTATGTATAAAAAAGAAGAAGAAGAAGAGAGAGAGAGAGAGAGAGAGAGAGAGAGAGAGAGAGAGTAATGATCATAGTATTCGAAACAATGGAACTGTTAATTATTCTAAATGAAGAGATCTGTGGAACAAGTTCATATTATTGATGTAGACGGTAGATATATAACTAATAACTAGGTGGGTTCCATGGATAGCAAATGTCGTATAGCCTGGTCTTGTAGTTGAACAAGCATCCGCCATAGGGTACTATAACCCACATACAAATGTCACACCTATCTTGATCTCTTTTCTGTATGTATATATCAATATAGTGAGATGCACCCGGCCACTCCACCGAGCAAAAGTATTGTGTAGTCCACCACATGTTGGGTCGAAATACGAATTCATAGGAGATGAGAGGGGGGAGGACATGGGCACCAAGATCATCGTCTGCGGATTTACAGTGAATAGTGAGCGTCAAGTCTCCGCCCAAATCATTAGTAATGTTCACATGTGTCACATTTGGAAGAGCTCCTGCATTTGGAAGAGCTCCTGCATTTGGAAGAATTCCTGCATCACACATGGTTAAGGACCAAACAAACACAAGCAGCACTAGCAATCCTACATTCCTAGTGAACAAAGCCATGATGACTGTTTAAACTTTGGATAGGTTTTGCTTTCTTTTCGCCAAGTGAATTTGAGGATGGCTAGGCTTTGTGGGTGGTTGCCACTTATATACCGAGGTAATTACTATTATCCATTTATGATATTATACCATTTCTATACATGATATATTATACCAATTACAGATTAATAGGGTTAAAAACAATTGTGGTGCATGAACTCTTCAATTTTAAACCAATTTGGTCCATATTCATTCACTGTATTGGTCAACTGGTATTATTCATATGACAAAGTGGCATGTGTAGGGTCCCACAAACAAATGCTACACCTCCTTTTGTCTCTCTCCTTTGTTTGTATATTGTGAATTGGTGAGATGTCCCCTCCCACGCCATGCTGCAATGGCGACTTGAGGTTCCCCAAATGCCTGGTCGCAGGGGCGGTGCTACGCCGAGGGCAAGGTAGGCTGCTGCCTTACCCCAAAATTTTCAAAAATAAAAAATACTTATATAAAATAGGCCAACTCACGTGAAACATACAAATTTATTCCCACTCAAAAAGCAACCCACATATCTATATATATAAATCAAAAGGTAGAGAACGGTGAAACATTCAAAATACCAGAAAATGTCATTAGTTAATTCAAATATTAAGAATTAAATGAGGATAATATGATAAATTCACACATTTTCATATTTTAAAAAAATAAAATTAAAAGAAAAATCAGTAATGAGTACTATTTTTTAAGAAACAAAACTACCCATTATTATTTTTAATTCTAAAATAAATTAAAATTTAAAAAAAAGAAAAAAAAAGAAAAAAGAAGCCTCTCAAAGGCGTGGAAGCACGTGCGGAGAGGCCAATATACATAATCTAAAATTTTCCTCCTCTTTAATTATCTTCACTTTAATTATTTCCTCTTTAATTATCTTTTTTTAATTACCTAGATTCTCGTCCCTGGATTACAATGGATAGTGAGGTCTAACTCTGGACCTAAGTTGTTGTAAATCCAGACCACTGTTTTTTCCGGAAAAAGGCCAGTACTAGATTCTCTACTAATATACTCAAATAAATGCAGATCCGTATACTATGGTATTAAATTGGGCTAGCAAAATGCGGATTAGCATACTACGTTACGTGGGCTTGGATGGTTTTCTGTGGGAGCCTCTGATTTTTTGCTTAATTCCTTGTGGGTCTTTTGGCATGTTAGTGTGTTTTCTTGTTTGATTTGCATTAATTTGAAAAGACTATAATGACATCTTCAATAGAAAAGTCAAAAGTAGAAGGGACAACATCAGTGAGTAATCCACATCATTCAGAGTGGATTTTAAGACCTGTAAATCCTGAAAGATGCAAAATGAGAATGAGCAAGATCAGTGAGCAATCCTACACCGTTAAGGAGGGAAAGGTGAAGTGGCATATATGTGTGTGTACTTGACTTCCTAGCGAGAGGCTTTTTAGACAAGATAACATAAGCGAGTGTAGGAACAAAACGGTGAGGGTTCATGCCCTTCAATATATCTAACTATCGATTAAATACAAAAAGAGTATATGAAAAATATCAAATATAATTGTTGACTAAAGGCTCATTTGGGAGTGATTATTAAAAGAATATATGAAAATTATCAATATCAATCATATATCAGATACTCTAAATTTTTACCCGATATGAAATAATCTACTTTCATTCACAAACAAAATTTCAACATATAGAACAAACAATAACGAACGAATTCCTCATGTTCCAAAGCAACAAGGCTCCCATACATTTCTTATTATGAGCAGAAATCCAATTAGCTTTTGTAATGTTCATTATTTTAGCAACACTATTAGCTCATCTGTGGTGGTGGTTTAGGCCACTCAAGAGAGATATCACTCTCTCCGACATTGTAGTCTCTATAACCATAAACTCCACCCTCAGTCACATTCCAAATGCAGTTTGTGGGGCACCTACTCTTATCCCTATCAGCAATATACATGTCAAAGACTCCAAACACGTCCTCCAAACGACCCTGCGGGTAGCGTCGAAAATTTATAGCACAAGTCAAAAGCGTGACCCCTCCAAAGCGAAAACTCCAATCATAGGCAGTGTTGCAAGCTATTTCATAGACTCCCAAGTCTTCGGTATTTGTTTTACAGTGAATTGTAAAATATTCCAAAGCAATTGGAAGATTGTTGTTGATATGAACAGTGGTTAATGGTGGGTCTGATGCCAAGGTTGCTTGGTTTCTTGCAGAGATGATTGGCAGATTCCAAACAGCAACGCACAACACAAGCAGAAAGACATGTTTGCCAAGAAGAGGATTGCACATTTTTAGGTTCTTTTTTTTTTCTTCTTCTTTTGACTTGGTGATTTCAATGGCTATCACGCATTTGCATATTTATGCAACAATTGTAAGGGTGGTAAACAATTTGAATCCAATTTCTTTTTTATATAACATATGTGGTAAATCCAATTTAATACATTCCCATTAGGTGTGCAAATCATCATTCTCTTATTCTGAGTTTTGGAAATGCTGGGGTTATGCTATATTTGGTCCAACTGAATTCAAATCCATATTCCACATGTAATTTTATAAGGAAAGATTAATTTGATCCTTTGGTATAGTATTATTATAGGAAAGAATCCATATGTATTATTTCCATTATTATAGGGCTCTTAAATTTGCTGAGTTAGATTACGTAGTTGGATAGGATTCATAATCCTAGTCAAATGTTTGGTGGCAATTCTATCAAAACATTGGGATTTAGTTGGTGGATTGGATTATGTCTAATCGTACTAAGTCATGTAATAGCACATTTTAATTAATTCAACCCCTTAATCCTGTGTAGTACCCAAGGTCTAAAATATTGATAGTCCAAAAACACAGAAATTTCGATGGAAATATTGGGATATTATCGATATCGATATTGAATAAAAACCATGGAAATTGGAAGAAAAACTTGGAAATTTTTATTGAAACTTTGAAGGATGTTTATTTAGTCAATTATCTATTACTTTATCACAGAAAATTAGAAGGAAATTATCGATGTCGATATTTTCCGATATTATTGTTGATATTATCGATACTTATACGATATGTGTATGGATATGTTCCAAAATATCATAGACCCGAAAAGCGATAATATCCTCGATATTTTGTCAATATTATCGATATTGTAGTCCTTGGTTGCACCAACCATATCATTTGATTAATGTTATTGTTTCCAATCCAATGCAATCCAATTATACCTCATAATCCAATCAAATCCAATCATAATCACCAAACATGGGGAAAGAATTCCCATGTATTCTTTCCCTGATTTTAAAAGAGATACCTATTCAAAAACCAATTTTAGCATGACATATTATACAAAAACTCATATAGAGCATATTTGGAGAGAACCAAAAACTTGCCACTTGTAATTTTCTAATGGTTCTTAATGTGTTAAAATTTTATAAAAACCAATTAGAAAATGACAAGTGGCTAAGGGTTTTCTCTCCAAAGAGACTTTATAAAGGTTTTTGTATAATGTGTCATGTTAAAAATACCCACACATATCACATCACATTGGACAAAATGAGAGATGTAAAAGCGCCTTTTTTTTTCTCCGAGGGAATAACTTCTACAAAACCCAGAAAACGGGGAAAAAGGAACAAAACGTAGGAACCCAAAAACGGGCCAAAGAACAAAAATAGAGAAAGTACATACACTTAACCACACAAGTCTAATATAAAAATAATTTCCCACCACTTTCAAACCGTTTTCCATTCTCTTAATCAAGTTTAATTAAAGACTAGCCCCTTGAGCTACTATTGGTTTTTTTTTTTTTTTTTTTTTTTTTTTTTTTTTTTTTTTTTTTTTTTAGAGAAAAAAAATAACATGGATAATTATGTTCTATAAAAGTAGGATCTATTATCTGAATTTTTTTTTAATATGAAAAAATGTGAATTTACCATATTATCCTTATTTAATTAATAATTTTAATTATTAATGTTCCAAGGGCATTTTCTAGTATTTTGAATGTTTCACCATTCCCTGTCTTTTACTATATATATATATATATATATATATATATAAAAGATAAACAGTAGGATGCACGTCACCAAAACATTCTCACGCCAAAGTCGGCGATTTTCATTTCCATGTTGCTGTTCACCAAAACATTGGCGGGTTTGATGTCGCGGTGGATGATCTTGTTGTTGTGGAGGTAGTTGAGGCCGTTAAGAACTTGGCTGGCTACGTGGGCAAGATTGGGCTCGGAGAAGGTGCCTTGGGCTTTAAGCAAGGTCTCGAGGGTGCCGGAGTCCATGTACTCCATGAGGATGCCGATATCTCCCGACGGCTTCTCAAAGATAGCGTGGCAGCGGATGACGTGGGGAGAGTCGGTGCGCCACGGCGGACTGTGTGGTCGTTGGAGTCGCCATAGACGAGTTTGAGAGCGTAGGTGGTGGAAGCCCGCTTGTGATTTACCTTGTAGACGGTGCCGCTGTTACCGTGGCCGAGGACTTGAAGTTTCTCAAGATCGGCGGCGGAGATAGTGCCGAAGGAAGAGTTGTTTGTGACGGCCGTGGTAACAGCAGCGGTGGGAGGGAGGGGTACAGAGAAACATGGGTGGCACTCGGAGGGTTCGGGCAAGGGGAGGCGGAGATTAAGCTGGCGGCGTTGTCGAATGAGAGCCATTTTGTTTCTAGTTTGGTTGGGGATGTGTTGGTGGTGTGGGTGTGGAGTGGAGTGGAATATTTATATAGGGTTTCCTTTTTCCTAATACAAGTAGGAGTGAGAAAAGAACTTGCGGGCCAAGCAGCCGGCATCATCCAAATGGATCCCAACATTTTAGGTTTAGGATTATTTTGTTTTATTAACTAATTTAAACATAATTATCTACATTTGGATTTCAAGGCATTTACTAGTAGCTATGATATATTCATAATCTTGTTAAATCCATATCTATCAACGCTTAATAGTTATCTGCCAACTTCATTTGCTTTGGGAGTAATCTGCCTTTTATAATTAAATATTTTATCATTTTAAAATACTCGCAAAAAAGAAAAAAACAAGAAAAAAGTGCAGGATAAAGATTTCAACCTAAAACTCAATTAATCTTTTGGATTTCTTCTGACTTGGTCTTTTCAGGGAGCCATGTTGTCCTTGGATACATATTATTAATTTTGCGATCTTGGTTAAGTTGCGAAATCTACCCATTTTGGTAACGCCAAATTTTTATTTGTTTTTCCTACTTCAACGAGGAACACTAGGTTACTGTTAGTGTTTATAGGTCTATATAAATAAGAGTCTTGTATCCTATGGACAATTAACTTTGATTAATATCTCTTGCTCCATTCCCATTATTCACATTTTTCAATAGGCCAAACATGTACCTGTTTCATTTCTTTGTTGGAGGTACCAATTAGCACAGAAGGCTTGGGAGAAGACATTGTCATAAACCCTCCTACAACCACCGTTCGTATTGACAATGCTATTACCGATAGCAAAAACTTCACGGTTCATTGTAAATCCAAGAACGATGATCTGGGGGTTCATGTTATAACCAACAGTCTTTCATACGAGTGGAGTTTCAAGGTTAATTTCTGGGAAGCTACACTTTTCTTCTGTGATTTGAGTTTTCAAGACAAATCCAGGGCTGTGTCTGGATCGTTTGACATATATGTAGCCAAAAGAGACATGAAAAGATGCCCAACATTTTGTGTTTGGAGTGTGCAGGAGTCTGGCTTTCATGGCTACACAGAAGACTCGGGCCTCGTTCAATTTGATATTTTCCTTTCCATTTAAATAGAGACGAAAATAGAATATTACACACACACACACACACACATATATATATATATATATAGTCTATATAGTTTACAGCAATGCTGCAAATTGTATTGTATTTACGAATATTATCGTTTTTTCTAAGGGTGCTTTTTGATCTAGTTATTTTATATAAAAAATTCAACCTGGTTATAACGATGCATTAGGCGGCATATTCACTTGTCACTAACTACAAGACACACATTTTTCACTATGTGCTAAACGCTACTGAATTTGAGTGTTGGAGCATCTTCAAAGAGAGGGGATGCAAATTTAGGGATGGAAAGCCTAATTTACATCACCGTTTATATTTCCTTTAGAAAAATGAGATGTGAGTTATTTATTTCAATAGGGAGTTTCCAAATTTAAGGAGCTAAGCCAACTAACCCAACAAAAAGGAGTTTTAACTTTAGAAACTAGTGGTCTCAGATTTGAACCCCGTGGTACCTTAATTGTATGTGCAAGAAACCTCTTCCCATTTATAGTTTAGACTATTACTTCTATTAAAAACAAAATTAAGGAGCTCAAATTTAGAGTTGGTGGTTTAATTTGTGCTGTCGGATGCCCATAGCCATTCAATCTCAACTGTGAGGACATTGGAGTATGTGGCGCATTCACCAAAAGTCTCCCATGTGCTTCCTTTTGTCGTTCTCCTCCTTTTCAATTTGCATGACTCGCTATCACAGGATATAAAATTAGATGCAAATATGCATTTTTTTTCCCCATATACCAGGCAGTTCTTCATTTACATCCTCAATTATTTACATCTGGCTTGGTGATCCTCTAACTACAACTACTAGAAGGAACAAGTATTTTTATTTTAATTGGTTCAATAAATTTGCAAAGTTGGGAACCATACACATTAGTAAAAATACGTTGAGTTCATGCAAATACAAAATACGAAATAGACAAATTGACCGTCAGACCAAAAACAAAAAACTAGACAAATTGACCGCGCAAGTTGGATTTGGGATGCTAGTCTCAGCCCAAGAGCAGGAATGGCATGGGCCGAGCTGAGAAAAGCAATGGATATGGAGAATTACTGGGTATTGAATGTTTTTCTCCAACTCCCTTGTTACCGTTACTGATTTGGTTTCCTACGCTCGGGTCCCCCTTTTCCGGTGACCGGTTGTGGCTCGATCATGGCGGCAACATCTTATTTTTTGTTTGTGTTTTTTGTGTTATTTGGGGCCCTATGTCCACTGTTTTAAAGTTTGGGCTTCTTTATGTTATGTTATGTTTGGCCCGATAATCGAGAGATCTAGATTACTTTTTGGGAGAGGCTATAATGAGGAGTTTAAAGTGAGGAGGTTATTTGAGGAGGCTAATCCCACCATCAAAATATTTAAAATGTAAGTCCCATGATTTCTTTACATTTGTTGATGGTGAGACTGACTTCCTCAAATAGCCTCCTCACTTTAAACTCCTCATTATAGCCTCCCCGCTACTTTCTTTAATTTTAGTACAAGCGATTTGGGGAAGGGGATTTACACAAATATTCATTGGGTGCCTCGTGGTTTTAAATCTCTGCCCACGAAAGTGAAGGTGGAAGAACCCAATCAACTGAGTCATATCCCACTAGCTGGACTCTACTTTCTTGTTTCCTTAGAAAAGTACAAATTCTGGTTCAATGCAATTTCTTCTTATTGGGCCTTTCCAAGGGCTTTTTTGTCTTCCTCTATTCCGGACGTCACAATTGATTTTAGATTAAAATCCAGTAATGTCACGTATTATTGTTGAAGTATGTATTAATTTTTAGTTCATACTTCATTTAAAGTCCGTACTATTGTTGAGGTATTATTGTTGAGATGAGTAATCAATTGATTTTGGGTCCAATAATTCCACATCAGAGCGTGTCACGTCCAACATGTGAAGCCTATACTATTGAGATAAGCACTCAATTGATTTCAGGTTGATTAAACCTTGAATGAAAGAGAGTGTGTCCCCATCCAAGTATTTGAAGTCTATATCATTGAGCAGAGTAACTGGAATTATGCTGTTATGAGATTGGGGAAAAAAACACTGTGAAGGGAACAGTGCATAGATAAAAAGAAGAGTTGGGAACCAATTGTTTCTTCTTGATACGGAAATAGAAAAAGACGGCAGATGTAGTGCAAGGCACGAATTGTCTCTATCTTCGAAGCACGTAATGGGGATTGAAAATGCCAAATGTTGGTTTTGTTGTGACTTATGCTTTTCAACTGATAAGTGATATTCATTTCTCTGGGGGAGAGATAAACTTGCTTTTGTTCCACTGAGCCAGCCCACGCGGTTTTGAATCGACACACAGCCATATCCTCATGATATGCTTCTTTAATCCTTTAGTACCAGCACTGCTTCATTAGGACATCGTACATTCTGCTCACAGTTTTTTCTTCTTATAAAACGCACGGGAGGAATTGTATTTCGAGGAGTTTATGATTACTTGTTTGAAATGTCAATAATAGCTCCCCTTTTTTTAATTTTTTTAATTTTTTTATGGGTGTAAAAATATCGTATGAGGATTAGGTGAGATGAAAATAAAACAATTACTCTTTCAAGTCATGTATTCAAATCTCCATTCTCAAATATCGCTTGTATATAATGTTAAGCTAAAGTCTAAATTTACTTATTGTGTGGGGGTAATGGGGGTAATCATGGCAACGGCCCTAGAAATGGTAAATATGGTATCTATATAAACCTGAAATTATACTATTTGGATTCTGCCTGCATTGGCTTCTTTTTTTTTCTTTTTTTGGGTTGATATTTTTGTTTGATAGATCTTTTGTACAATTTTACCGCAAAAAGAAAACAAAGTTCCACAGAGGAAGTTTGGGAACAAAAAAAAATCCAAACCGACAAAAGGCCTGCCATTAAAACTTGGGTAGCATTACAATTCCAATGCCCTATGGAAAAAAAGAGTAGTATTTTATTACATATTGCTTAGAGTAAACTCATAATTGAACCAAAATTCCATTACAGTCGTTTCTAACATAACACAATTCAACTTGGGGTTCCATCTGTGACTTAGCAAAGCAAAATGGAAATATTTAATTTTAAAAAGGAACCCAAAAACAAAAATACCCTTCAATTTGTTTTCCAGTAGTCCATGCACTTCGTTTATTAAAATGAGAACTGTTTCCCAATCATTAATGTTACCATGAAAAATCTTTTTTCCAGTTTACTTCATCATTGCTGAAATAGAACCCATCTTCTCTGACCAACCAAGAACACTTCCTAAAAGGACCGCACCTCTGTGTATCCCTGGGAGCCTTAAAGGCCTCAAAGCTCTTTCTTGTTCGGTCCCATTTCATTGTACATTTGAAATGGTCGTTGGTACCCCAGAAATTGGTCCTCAGACTCCAGCTGAAATCATCATGCTCCTGAAGCGCTCGTCCACCAAGATCACTGTGTTCTGATGCACACCAGATGACAAGAGGCAGGGAGGAGTTGTTTGTGAAGCCGTTGATGACTCGAATATCGTATTCGATGCCGTAGAAGTTCTGGGGTTGTAGTATTGACATGAAGATCACGAAGGACGCTAGGCCACAGATGAGAAGAATGCTGGTGAGGATCTTCATATTTTTGTAAAGTGAAGGAAATATTATGGTGGAAATGATAAATGAGCAACGCTTTTAAAGCTGGCCATAAAGAAAAAATCGTTTTCCAACTTGAAATGGTAACGTCATAATGGTTTACCAACCTCCACCAAGTATCATACCAAATATACATGTATACGAGATTTTTTTTTTCTGTCCTAGGATCAAAGAAAGTAATGTGATACACAACATGGAGAGTGAACCAATATTTTCTCTCTTTCCTAATTCGAAAGAGGAGAAAGCGAGAATCGAACTTTTGTTGCAGGTGTAACCGTATACGAGTAACTTGCTTAATTAGTATCTAGCCACATCCTTTATGTTTAGTTATTTACATGATGTTTGACAGTGGTAGATCTGGATATAATTGGTTTTATAATATTTGAATTATATGGGACTGTGGGGTATATAGGCGACTAATAATGGTTATGCACTACGTGATACAGGTAAGATCATATGTGATATATATAACTTCTCATACTATTTTTGCATTGATGAAAACTTTATCCGTGCAACTATGCAAGGCTCCACATGAATACCAAACAAATTTAAAGCATGGAAATGTCAATGTCACATCACTTCCCAGCATTTTAGATATTAGCTATTTGTGATTCGGACACTGCCACACTTCAACGCAGCAAGCAAATATATTTCTTTCTTTTTCAGCCGTTAACTTTGATGCAAGATCTTATCATTCAAGTAATTAAAATTATTTATCTACACACTTGAGGTCTTATCTTCGTATCTGACAAAATGAAAGTTATCAAATTGAGTTTAACAAACCCTATATTAGTTACTTTTTAGCAAACCTAATCTGAATTTTTATGCGACAACCAGGACTGCAAGAAGTAATAATTGGGGATTGAAAAAGATCCGTCAAACTAAGACCAAGTTGTAGGCTGGTGGTAGTGGATAAACATGAAGAGTAATCTAGCATATCTCAAGTGGTGCCAGTGGCAGCGTTTTGCTGTTAAAGAGCCGCACATGATAGAATAAGATGTGGTTTTGATCCTTTTGTTGTCCATAGATCTTCTGTATGGCTTAAAGATAGAAATCTAGGCAAAACGACAACAAAGCCTACGATATGTAATATTTTTTATTGTTGCCAAAACCTATGACATGTAATCTATGGCAGAAGATTTTCTTTTTGCCTAACATCCCAACACTTTCAAAATTGAATGCCGACGATCTTAATTTAGCCACCCTTCCTTCCTAAATATTCTAGGTCAATTGGGTCATGTTGTCGGACTTTTTGCTCTTTTATCAGGTTTTGCTAGCACTTCAAATCACTTAACAAAAAGAAAAAAAAGGAAAAGAAGAAAAGCTATAGCACTTGAAATTGGACTTCTCTAAAGTCCAACTCTAGTGTATACGGGCCTTTGCCTTTCTGTTTATCTATTTCTTCTGGTTGAGGCCGGTGGGACATTTCTAGGATTTCTTCATTTCTTTGGGATGAATTTGTAATGGCCAGCCTATATAAAAGTTTTTGGGCTTAAGGGAGACAATTGACCTTGATACCATACTCCATTAAGTAGTAGGATTGGGTTAGCTGATAAGTCCATAAATATACTCATTTATGTACTCTTTTTACTTAGGTTTTGTAGAAGAATTAGATTTAAAAGGGGCTTATTACTTTACTTTTCTGATTTTCAGTTTTTCTGTGCTCATAGAAGGTTTTTAAGGGAAATTCAACTCTTCGGAGGAATTTTAGCGCAAGGCCAATTGGAGATGAAAGCTAACATCTTGAAGTTCAATATGTGATTTTTCTAGAATTTTCTACTAAGAAAATTGGTACAGTATTACAAGTAAAGTTAACCCACATGCAAACAAGACAGTTTCGTACATGTTACGTGAATGTGAAGAAACGGAAGCCTTCCCGAATTTTCCAAGTTACGTGCTATATATGGTTGGAAAGATAAGACATTTGTCTTTCTAAAATATATTTTTAATGATTTTTCTAGAAGGCCAAAGATCCCCAAATCGTGTGATAATTGGGCTGAGCTGTATTTCCCTATGGAGTTAAGAATTGTGATTTTTACTTTCCTATTTGGATTCCTTGTTTACCAAGACTTCTTGGACGACTTTTCAGTCAATCTTAGGGTTCAAAACTCTGATATAAGTGATATAAAAGGCCAGCCAAGGCCCCCATACAAAGGATTCACGTCCTAAAGAGATCAACCGCGCAAGAGGAGAAAGCTGCCAACGAGTTCTTTCTTTTCTTTTCTTCTTTTAATTTTCAGTTCTTGTGTATTTATTTTTGGGTTCATCCAAGAACATGAGTAACTAATTTCTTGTTAGTTAGGGCTTAATCTTGAAGCCCTAAACATGATTTCAATTATATAAACAAGTTTGAATGGATTTTCAGTTTCTACAAGCGTGATGATTTCGGTTTCTCTATGTTATGTGAATTCTGATATTTTGTTTCTTTGAGTAGCTAACTTTGAAGCATGTATTGAAATTAAATTGTTGTAGAACATAGGTCAATTGCCATATTGAATGTGTTCATATAAAAATGCACATAATACTTTTTTTATTATTATTCTAGGCAATTGAAAAAACTGAATTGTTGTTCAGTTATGGGAATATGGTGGGATTATCTTGTGTCCTATCCACCAGTGGCGGATCTAGGAATTTTTCAGGGAAGGGGCAATGTTAAAAGACTAAAACATCCGAAAAAATAATAATAATAACCAAATAGCCTTACAATTTAAACAACACTAATATTATCCATAATTAAAATAAATAAGAGTTTTACGTCTAAGCCTAATTGACTATAATCTATTTTCTATATAAATTAAATGCACAAAATTCATGTTACACAATTATTTACCAAAATTAATATCAAATATGAACAAAATGCATGTCAATTACACAATTAGTCTATCAAAATTCATATGAAATCATCCATTAATCTAACCAAAATCAATACCAATTAATCTAACCCAAAGTACATGTGATTTGGAGGTCACAAGATAAAAGTAGATGTGATTATGAGTTTGGGGTATTTTTTGGTGAATTTTTTGGAGAACATATGAATTTTTAATGAATTTCTAAATTTGGTCTAATTAAAATTGGACACATGGCGCCCTGATAGTGGACCACATTAAAAAGGAATGCAAGTTGAGAAGCACAGGATTCTAACTACAAACACAAGTCATCTTCTTCTTCGGCTGGTTGTGTCTGCAACTTAAGTGAAATTTTTTCAAAATCTTCTAAAATCTATAACTTTGGTTGTGAAGGTCCAATTGATGAACCGTTTTCTCCTACGTGATCGTGAGATCGAGCTCAACAATCTAAGGTAAATATTCAGGGTCTCACATAGCAGCAACAAAACAGCCTCTTTGAGGCTTTTAATCGAACACTTGGAGGGCACAAGCAAATGGGCAAATTCCTGCATCTCCAATGCGTTTTCCTGCGAGAGGAGGTGCACCTGCACCTCCTTACGCCTCTGTGGGTCCGCCACTGCCTTCATGGTGACATCAAGGAAGAAATATACATGGACCCTCCGCCAGGTATCCTTGTAACCTCTAAGGAGGGTATGGTGTGCAAACTACAGAAATCCTTATATGGATTAAAGCAGTCTCCAAGAGCTTGGTTTGGGAGGTTTGCTGCATCTATGAGGAAGTCTGGGTATGTACAAAGTAATTCGGATCATACTTTGTTTCTGAAGCGTCGGAAAGGTAAATTGACAGCTTTAATAATTTATGTTGATGATATGATTGTAACTGGAGATGATCAGACAGAAATATAGAGTCTCTAGAAATATATGGCGTCTGAATTTGAGATGAAATCATTAGGTGACTTGAAGTACTTTCTCGGGATTGAAGTGGCTAGATCTAAGCATGGTATTTTCTTGTCCCAAAGGAAGTATGTTTTGGATTTACTTGCAGAAACTGGAATGTTGGATTGTAAACCAATTGATACTCCTAGTGAACATAATCACAAGTTGGGGTTATATCCTGATCAAGTTCCTACTAATAAGGAGCGCTATCAACGGCTTGTGGGGAAATTAATTTATTTAGCTCATACACGTCCTGACATTGCGTATGCAGTAAGTGTGGTGAGTCAGTTTATGCACGCACCTAGTGAAGATCATATGGCAGCTGTGACGTGTGTTTTGAGATATCTCAAAGTAACTCCTGGAAAAGGGTTAATGTTTTCCAAGTATGGTCATACAGATGTGGAAGGATACACCGATGCTGATTGGGCAGGTTCGGCTACTGATAGACGTTCTACGTCTGGGTATTTTACGTTTGTTGGTGGTAATCTTGTTACTTGGAGAAGCAAGAAACAAAAGGTGGTGTCTCGATCTAGTGCTGAGGCCGAGTATCGTGGAATGGCCCATGGTGTATGTGAGTTACTGTGGTTGAGGAGATTATTGAGAGATCTTGGCTTTGGGCCTAAGAAACCTATGGATATATATTGCGATAATAAGGCTGCGATTGCAATTGCTCATAACCCTGTACAACATGATCGTACAAAGCATGTGGAGGTTGATCGAAATTTCATTAAAGAAAAGTTGGATGCGGAGATTGTTTCCTTCCCATTCATCAGTTCTGAGTATCAGTTAGCAGATGTCCTTACGAAGGCTGTTTCTACTAGTATTTTCCACAACTCGCTTGACAAGTTGGGCATGCGTGACGTCTTTGCTCCAACTTGAGGGGGAGTGTTGGCGAGATATCCTAGTCTTATTATGATATTTCTTTCTTATTCTATTAGGATTTTATTTGTTTCCTTTTTGTATAGATATTATGTAATTAGGACTTTTCTTATTTCCTAGTATAACCCTACTAGGGTTTGTAATCTTGTATTATAAATACCTCCTTTCGGAGAATGAAATACATCTGAAATATTCTACCCATATTGTTTGACTTAATGGTCATAATAATTTATTCAATAGAGTAATGCTAGGATGAGATTCTGTATCCCTGTAAGCCAGTCCTCATATAGACTGACAATTCTGAAGTGAGACATTATGTTTCACAACAACAAAACTGATAAAGTGGCGGCTGGCAGTCCCCTCCCTTGAAACCAATTCTCTGGCAAAACGCATTGCAATCAGGCTGGTCTTCACATTTTGCTCGACATTGCAAGTCGGCCATTCCTGAAACAATCCAAAAATTAAAACGTATCGTTAATTAGCAATTTAAAACGAATTTAATTTGTAGCAAGAAAAGTAATGTTCGAACATTGTATATGATTTCCAAATTTCAACATACCAAGTGAAGAGAAGACCATGGCGATGACAACCAGCAAAATGGTTAACTTCTTGGCAATGATGCAAAAATACCCACCGGCCATTTCTCTTTGCTTTTGACTTCAACTCCTTGCAATGACGAGCCAATGGTGAATGGTGATGTTATTTATATGATTAGGAGAAGATCTAATTAAGGAAACATAATCCTAGGCTGACTCATGCAATTATGCCCAATATTTTTTCATCCTTCAATTCTCCTAAGCTTTTAAGGAATCATATCTCACTGTCAACCACTTGCTATATCTTCTGTGTACATTATTATTGGGTTATTGTTGTCTAGATTTTTTTTTCCCATTATTCTAAAGGTAGTTATAGAGTTGCCCTAATAAGTGGATATTCAGCCTCCTTAGGCTCCGTTTGGTTCACGGAACGGGAAATGGAAGATTCTTTTCCCACGTTGGTAATGCTAGAAAAGTAGTCGGGAAATAGCACTTTATTTCCTTTCCCATGTTTGTTTTGAGTAGGAATGGAAAACAAAGTTTGTATAAATATTCAATTATACCCTTATTAAATTAAATAAAAAAAGAATGCATTTAATAATATATTGTAATTTTAAATTGTTAATGGGGACAAAATGGTCATGAAAAATGTGTATTTAATGTTAGTTCATTCCCCCAAACTTTCCCATAGGAGGGAAAACAAAACCCAAGTTGGGAAGATGGCTTCACTTTCCTCCTACTTTCCCATGGGCCAGGCAACGATTTCCCATACCTGAACTTACCAAACATGGGAAAGTAATTGATTTCTTATGCCTTAGGGCAGTGAAACCTACCTTAATTTTACTTTGAGAAAACAAAACCTACCTTGAAAATGTTAAAAATATGCATTTTTTCTTTTTATATAATAAATATATAGACATTGTTCTTTCAAAAATAAAATAAAAAAAATAAATACATAGACATTTTTCACATGTTTTCATATTTTTCATTCTTTTTCATGATATTGCATTAATTGAATTGAAGAGTCTATTGGAGCAACAATGATTCAAGTAGAAAATAAGGCTTTTCAAATTGTCACGTAGGTCAACAAACTTCAATTTGAAGAGTTTTATTTGGTACTACTGTTGGAGATGCTCTTACACCGAAATTCAAATTCCCCATTCCATAAATTGGATTAAATTAGCCATATTTGGATGCAAGCTTGAATTTGGAATTGAATTTCCAAATCTATAGATTTCAAATCTCCTAAATTTGAAATTTATTGTAAATGCATGAGATGGTGGATGACCACAATACCTGTTAGTATTACACCCTTGTATTTATGTAATCTATGCACTAAGTATTTGTAATTAGTGCTTGTAACCTATAAGTATATTGTAAATGATGGTGTTCAATTTCCTAACTTGTAAGAGCATCACCAACTGTAGAAAATAAAACTCTTCAAATTGAAGTTTGTTGAGCTAGTGGCAATTTGTATAGCCTTATTTGCTACTTGAATAATTTGAAGATGACGTGATAACAAGTTTGATCATTTGAAAAGTGAAAAGCATGTCGAGTAGTGTGATAACGATCATGTATGAAGATAATGTTGCTTGTATTGCTCAAATCAAAGAAGTGTTCATCAAGGGTGCCATAGCTTCAGAAAAGCCAAGAGATTTGAGTCAAACAAATTCCTTCATAAGATAATATAGAGAACCTTTTTACTAAAGCTCTTCCGAAGTCTATATGCAAGAAGTTATTAAAGATCAGGGGGAGTTATCAATCATGGGGAGCATCGAAATTCTACTACATCGGACATATGCGCAATGTTTTATTAGACCATGTTTTAATCCCATGTGGTTTTTCTTAACAAAGTTTTAACGAGGCATAATAAGCGTGTCCAACACCATGTATCAATGATCCAAAAGAATTTGCATTTTTTTTTCCTTCACTTTGGTTTTGTCCCACTGAGTTTTTCAAGCAATGTTTTTAATGAGGCAACTATGTCATTGATGGTGGACATCCAAAGGGGAGTGTTGTAAATCCATGAGTTGGTGGATGGCCACCATACTTCTTAGTATTCCAACCTTGAATTCTATGTAACTTATGCAATAAGTATTTGTAATTAGTGCTTGTAACCTATATGTATATTATAAATGATGGTGTTTGATCTCATAACCTGTAATGTGTGTTAAGCCTATAAATAGGTGGCTCTACCAAAGATGAAATGTGAATATACATTGTGAAACTTTATCTTTAGAATATCACTTCTCTCAACATTTTCTTTCTTAATTTTATAACAAAATCTATTTGTTTGGCAACTATATTTGCACGCAGGGATTTGAATTAAGAAGGGACTTTATGTTAATGTATGCATTTTGAGTTTTTCTTTTGGCTTCCCTTGACAATTTTGTAATAGGATTTGTATTGTTTTTATCAAGCTCAAGTTTAGATTAAGAATAGCTTCTCTAGGTGTTCTTAACTAACAACTATCCTATGGAGGTTCAAGCAAATTGACAAAGGCAAATTGTGCATTGCATCACATTGCATTAAATTGATTTCATAAAATGATGACTAGTCATCTGTTTCTCGTATGACTAGTCATCCTTGCTCTGTAGGATTTCCAGCTAGATAACCAACTATTTTGTCATATTCTCCTTTCTCTCTCCGCTGTCATGTGTTGATTCAGAGCTAAGGAATTTTTGGGTGTAAAGGCTAAAGGATTCCTAATTTGGCAGCCGTCACTTTTGCAAGCAAGTTTTGGAAAGTTTCTCTGTAAACTTTCTCTTCTTCCTCAAGTGTAACCTTCATATTTTTCATCTTTGAATTTTCCAAAATGTTTTGAAAACTGCATTCGAAATATGAAAACCTCATCTTACTAGATCAAACACTATCTCATATATATCTAGGTCAGATTCAAGATTGATTTCTTCAAGAGTATGGTTTCTTGAAGAAATTGGTCATTCTCCTTTGAATCCAAATTTTGGTTTCTGTCTAAGTTAGAGCTTGCAAGCTGGTGCCATGGATGAATGAGCTGGAGAAAGAGCTGCCATTGCAATGAAGAACTGAGCTTCAAGCTTTGCTAAGTTGGAGAAGAAGATTGCACAAAGGAGGTATAGCTCATCTTCCTAAATAGATCTAGGTTTTTCTTGAGCTTGCTTGTGTTCCTTTGTAAGAACCTTTTTTTACTTAGTGGATTGTCTGGTCGGTTGATGATCCTCAGTTTTTTCCAATGATGGGTTTCTGGGTGAACAATTTCTAATTGCATCAATCTTTTAATTTTTGTTTTAAGAGAAAAAGAGTAAATGCATATATGTGGGTGTAGGTCAGTTGGCCAAGGTATTGAGCTCATCCCCTTGCACTCAAATTCAACCGTTCCTCGTAAATTAGAGTACTTTAGAATATCGCTTTTGTCACCAAAATAAATAAATAAATCAGAATCAATAAATTAGAGTAAGAATATCGCTTATATCACAAAAAAGAAGAAAAAAAGGAGAAGCAAATGATTGAGTACAGAATATTATTCATTAATTTGTAGACCGATTAAGCACATAATGGTCATAATAATTTATTCAGAAGAGTAATGCTCGGATGAGATTCTGTATCCTTGTAAGCCAGTCCTCATATAGACTGACAATTCTGAAGTGAGACATTATGTTTCACAACAACAAAACTGATAAAGTGGTGGCTGGCAGTCCCCTCCCTTGAAACCAATTCTCTGGCAAAACGCATTGCAATCAAGCTGGTCTTCACATTTTGCTCGACATTGCAAGTCGGCCATTCCTGAAACAATCCAAAAATTAAAACGTATCGTTAATTAGCAATTTAAAACGAATTTAATTTGTAGCAAGAAAAGTAATGTTCGAACATTGTATATGATTTCCAAATTTCAACATACCAAGTGAAGAGAAGACCATGGCGATGACAACCAGCAAAATGGTTAACTTCTTGGCAATGATGCAAAAATACCCACTGGCCATTTCTCTTTGCTTTTGACTTCACTCCTTGCAATGACGAGCCAATGGTGAATGGTGATGTTATTTATATGATTAGGAGAAGATCTAATTAAGGAAACATAATCCTAGGCTGACTCATGCAATTATGCCCAATATTTTTTCATCCTTCAATTCTCCTAAGCTTTTAAGGAATCATATCTCACTGTCAACCATTTGCTATATCTTCTATGTACATTATTATTGGGTTATTGTTGTCTAGATTTTTTTTTCCCCATTATTCTAAAGGTAGTTATAGAGTTGCCCTAATAAGTGGATATCCAGCCTTTTTAGGTTATGTTTGGAGCATGGAATGGGAAATGGAAGATTCTTTTCCCACGTTCCCAAGTTGGGAAGATGGCTTCACTTTTCTCCCTACTTTCCCATGGGCCAGGCAATGATTTCCCATACCTGAACTTACCAAACATGAGAAAGTAATTGATTTCCCATACCTTAGGACAGTGAAACCTACCTTAATTTTACTTTGAGAAAACAAAACCTACCTTGAAAATGTTAAAATATGCATTTTTTCTTTTTATATAATAAATATATAGACATTGTTCTCTCAAAAAATAAAAAATAAAAGACATAGACATTTTTCACATGTTTTCATATTTTTCATTCTTTTTCATGATATTGCATTAATTGAATTGAAGAGTCTAGTGGAGCAACAATGATTCAAGTAGAAAATAAGTCTTTTCAAATTGTCACGTAGGTCAACAAACTTCAATTTGAAGAGTTTTATTTGCTACTACTGTTGGAGATGCTCTTACACCGAAATTCAAATTCCCCATTCCATAAATTGGATTAAATTAGCCATATTTGGATGCAAGATTGAATTTGGAATTGAATTTCCAAATCTATAGATTTCAAATCTCCTAAATTTGAAATTTATTGTAAATGCATGAGATGGTGGATGACCACCATACCTGTTAGTATGACACCCTTGTATTTATGTAATCTATGCACTAAGTCTTTGTAATTAGTGCTTGTAACCTATAAGTATATTGTAAATGATGGTGTTCAATTTCCTAACTTGTAAGAGCATCTCTAACTGTAGCAAATAAAACTCTTCAAATTGAAGTTTGTTGAGCTAGTGGCAATTTGAATAGCCTTATTTGCTACTTGAATAATTTGAAGATGACGTGATAACAAGTTTGATCATTTGAAAAGTGAAAAGCAGGTCGAGTAGTGTGATAACGATCATGTATGAAGATAATGTTGCTTGTATTGCTCAAATCAAAGAAGTGTTCATCAAGGGTGCCATAGCTTCAGAAAAGCCAAGAGATTTGATTCAAACAAATTCCTTCATAAGATAATATAGAGAACCTTTTTACTAAAGCTCTTCCGAAGTCTATATGCAAGAAGTTATTAAAGATCAGGGGGAGTTATCAATCATGGGGAGCATCGAAATTCTACTACATCGGACATATGCGCAATGTTTTATTAGACCATGTTTTAATCCCATGTGGTTTTTCTTAACAAAGTTTTAACGAGGCATAATAAGCGCGTCCAACACCATGTATCAATGATCCAAAATAATTTGCATTTTTTTTCCCTTCACTTTGGTTTTGTCCCACTGGGTTTTCAAGCAATGTTTTTAATGAGGCAACTATGTCATTGATGGTGGACATCCAAAGGGGAGTGTTGTAAATCCATGAGTTGGTGGAGGACCACCATACTTCTTAGTATTCCAACCTTGAATTCTACGTAACTTATGCAATAAGTATTTGTAATTAGTGCTTGTAACCTATATGTATATTATAAATGATGGTGTTTAATCTCATAACTTGTAATGTGTTTTAAGCCTATAAATAGGTGGCTCTACCAAAGATGAAATGTGATTATACATTGTGAAACTTTATCTTTAGAATATCACTTCTCTCAACATTTTCTTTCTTAATTTTATAACAAAATCTATTTGTTTGGCAACTATATTTGCACGCAAGGATTTGAATTAAGAAGGGGCTTTATGTTAATGTATGCATTTTGAGTTTTTCTTTTGGCTTCCCTTGACAATTTTGTAATAGGATTTGTATTGTTTTTATCAAGTTCAAGTTTAGATTAAGAATAGCTTCTCTAGGTGTTCTTAACTAACAACTATCCTATGGAGGTTCAAGCAAATTGACAAAGGCAAATTGTGCATTGCATTAAATTGATTTCATAAAATGATGACTAGTCATTTGTTTCTCGTATGACTAGTCATCCTTGCTCTCGTATGACTAGTCATTTGTCCTATTCTCCTTTCTCTCTCTGCTGTCATTTTTTTGAGTTCCTATTGAGATGGGCGATAGTATATACTAAACTCACACACATAATACGGATGATAGGACTCGAACCTAGGATATTGCCTGAGGGAATAAATACTCCAAACCACTACACTAGTGGGTCATTTGCATCAATCTTTTAATTTTTGTTTTAAGAGAAAAAGAGTAAATGCATATATGTGGGTGTAGGTCAGTTGGCCAAGGTATTGAGCTCATCCCCTTGCACTCAAATTCAACCGTTCCTCGTAAATTAGAGTACTTTAGAATATCGCTTTTGTCACCAAAATAAATAAATAAATCAGAATCAATAAATTAGAGTAAGAATATCGCTTATATCACAAAAAAGAAGAAAAAAGGAGAAGCAAATGATTGAGTACAGAATATTATTCATTAATTTGTAGACCGATTAAGCACATAATGGTCATAATAATTTATTCAGAAGAGTAATGCTCGGATGAGATTCTGTATCCTTGTAAGCCAGTCCTCATATAGACTGACAATTCTGAAGTGAGACATTATGTTTCACAACAACAAAACTGATAAAGTGGTGGCTGGCAGTCCCCTCCCTTGAAACCAATTCTCTGGCAAAACGCATTGCAATCAGGCTGGTCTTCACATTTTGCTTGACATTGCAAGTCGGCCATTCCTGAAACAATCCAAAAATTAAAACGTATTGTTAATTAGCAATTTAAAACGAATTTAATTTGTAGCAAGAAAAGTAATGTTCGAACATTGTATATGATTTCCAAATTTCAACATACCAAGTGAAGAGAAGACCATGGCGATGACAACCAGCAAAATGGTTAACTTCTTGGCAATGATGCAAAAATACCCACCGGCCATTTCTCTTTGCTTTTGACTTCAACTCCTTGCAATGACGAGCCAATGGTGAATGGTGATGTTATTTATATGATTAGGAGAAGATCTAATTAAGGAAACATAATCCTAGGCTGACTCATGCAATTATGCCCAATATTTTTTCATCCTTCAATTCTCCTAAGCTTTTAAGGAATCATATCTCACTGTCAACCAGTTGCTATATCTTCTGTGTACATTATTATTGGGTTATTGTTGTCTAGATTTTTTTCCCCCATTATTCTAAAGGTAGTTATAGAGTTGCCCTAATAAGTGGATATCCAGCCTTCTTAGGTTCCGTTTGGAGCACGGAATGGGAAATGGAAGATTCTTTTCCCACGTTGGTAATGCTAGAAAAGTAATCGGGAAATAGCACTTCATTTCCTATCCCATGTTTGTTTTGAGTAGGAATGCAAAACAAAGTTTGTATAAATATTCAATTATACCCTTATTAAATTAAATAAAAAAAGAATGCATTTAATGATATATTGTAATTTTAAATTGTTAATGGGGACAAAATGGTCATGAAAAATGTGTATTTAATGTTGGTTCATTCCCCCAAACTTTCCCATGAAGAGGGAAAATAAAACCCAAGTTGGGAAGATGGCTTCACTTTCCTCCCTACTTTCCCAAGGGCCAGGCAATGATTTCCTATACCTGAACTTACCAAACATGAGAAAGTAATTGATTTCCCATGCCTTAGGGCAGTGAAACCTACCTTAATTTTACTTTGAGAAAACAAAACCTACCTTGAAAATGTTAAAAATATGCATTTTTTTCTTTTTATATAATAAATATGTAGACATTGTTCTCTCAAAAAAATAAAAAATAAAAAAATACATAGACATTTTTCACATGTTTTCATACTTTTCATTCTTTTTCATGATATTGCATTAATTGAATTGAAGAGTCTATTGGAGCAACAATGATTCAAGTAGAAAATAAGGCTTTTCAAATTGTCACGTAGGTCAACAAACTTCAATTTGAAGAGTTTTATTTGCTACTACTGTTGGAGATGCTCTTACACCGAAATTCAAATTCCCCATTCCATAAATTGGATTAAATTAGCCATATTTGGATGCAAGATTGAATTTGGAATTGAATTTCCAAATCTATAGATTTCAAATCTTTTAAATTTGAAATTTATTGTAAATGCATGAGATGGTGGATGACCACCATACCTGTTAGTATGACACCCTTGTATTTATGTAATCTATGCACTAAGTCTTTGTAATTAGTGCTTGTAACCTATAAGTATATTGTAAATGATGGTGTTCAATTTCCTAACTTGTAAGAGCATCTCTAACTGTAGCAAATAAAACTCTTCAAATTGAAGTTTGTTGAGCTAGTGGCAATTTGAATAGCCTTATTTGCTACTTGAATAATTTGAAGATGACGTGATAACAAGTTTGATCATTTGAAAAGTGAAAAGCAGGTCGAGTAGTGTGATAACGATCATGTATGAAGATAATGTTGCTTGTATTGCTCAAATCAAAGAAGTGTTCATCAAGGGTGCCATAGCTTTAGAAAAGCCAAGAGATTTGAGTCAAACAAATTCCTTCATAAGATAATTTAGAGAACCTTTTTACTAAAGCTCTTCCGAAGTCTATATGCAAGAAGTTATTAAAGATCAGGGGGAGTTATCAATCATGGGGAGCATCGAAATTCTACTACATCGGACATATGCGCAATGTTTTATTAGACCATGTTTTAATCCCATGTGGTTTTTCTTAACAAAGTTTTAACGAGGCATAATAAGCGCGTCCAACACCATGTATCAATGATCCAAAAGAATTTGCATTTTTTTTCCCTTCACTTTGGTTTTGTCCCACTGGATTTTTCAAGCAATGTTTTTAATGAGGCAACTATGTCATTGATGTTGGACATCCAAAGGGAGTGTTGTAAATCCATGAGTTGGTGGATGACCACCATACTTCTTAGTATTCCAACCTTGAATTCTATGTAACTTATGCAATAAGTATTTGTAATTAGTGCTTGTAACCTATATGTATATTATAAATGATGGTGTTTAATCTCATAACTTGTAATGTGTTTTAAGCCTATAAATAGGTGGCTCTACCAAAGATGAAATGTGAATATACATTGTGAAACTTTATCTTTAGAATATCACTTCTCTCAACATTTTCTTTCTTAATTTTATAACAAAACATTCATTTTTTAGCACCAAACATGGCATTGGATTTAGCAAATCCAATCCTACTACTTATCATACAAACCAAACAATGCCATCATTGCGAATCCAATATAATCTAATACAATCCAATCCTAATCACCAAATATGAAGAGCACAAAAATGGCTAATAACATTTCGATTTGTCCCATAAAAAGTGGTCATCTTCAATCTTGAACGCAGGTTTCCTCCCTATATAGCAAGGAGAGTTTGAGTACTAAAGAATTTGTCTCCAAGTTTGGAAAGGCTTACACGATATCATTTCTCAGTTGTGCATCCATATATTTTTTGGGAATAAATCTTGGAATAAATTGCTGGCGGCCAAAAATTAAAGACTAAAACTATAATATAGGAATAGACACAAACTCTTATTAATCAAAATATTAGGTTCTCAATGACTGGAATCTAATTATACCCTTAATTTTATATAAGAAAATGGTAACGTTGTTAGCCTTTAGATTTCCAGGAGAATTAGGAAATGGCTTATTGATTCCTGCATGGATAAGCCTTATCTAATATACACTCACACAGTAAATTTTGTACTATAAAAGGAACCACAAGGCCTTCTTGAACTTTATCCTGCTTCAATAAAAAGAATTCCAAAAGAAAAAAAGAACCGTTTTCCTGCAGGAAACAAATATGAGCCCTCCTATCAGAAATGTTGTTATGACACTGCTAGTTGTGCTCTTAATTACAAGTACTGAGGCCGACGTTCAAATTCCTAGGACCAAAAGAGTCAGAATCACCAACTCGTTGGCAAGCTACGTGGACATGAAGGTCCACTGTAAATCCGGTGCGCATGACCTAGGGGAGCAGATAGTTCGTCCAACGGAGAGCTATGAGTTCAGTTTCAAAACAAATTTTCTGGGAACCACATTGTTCTTCTGCAGCTTTCAGTGGGGGAATGAGTTTCATTATTTCGATGTTTACAAGAACGGTAGGGACGATTGTAGCAAATGCTTTTGGACTATTGTTGAAAACGGACCTTGCTTGTATGGCGTTCAGGGTGTCTGCTCTCAGTGGAACAAAAATTAGGGTCTTGGGAGTATCATGAGAGGACTCATTGTTATTACAGATTTTTAAAAATTAAAGGGTGAATTACAATTTGTGCCGTATGAAATTTGGTTTAATGTTTTGCTTTAGGTCTTACTCATGATGCCATATGTGGTTGGAAATTCCGCCAACTTTAATTTAGGGTCTTTTGATCCAAATATTGTAATGGTCGTTAATTTCATTTTCAATAAAATTCTGTTTCTTTAAAAAGAAAAATTTGAGTAAATTATCTCTTCCCTATGCCTATAATGCATGCAAGGTAGTAATGTAAGATTTACGTTAAGTGAGATTTGATTGCATCGAGCCATTAGAAATGTTGATCTCAGTCATAGTAGTCATTTGGGTACTGACATGACTGGCCTAAATTTTTTGAACTTGAATGATTTCATATGAGATTACATGTTTGTTAAGGAAAGCTAAAAACATTAGCTAAACAAAACCAAAAAATAAACTAATTGCTTATAGCGATAATGATTTTATATAATTCATTATTTGTTTCTATTTTAGTTTTTTTCATTCAATTAAGTGGAATGCTAGATACCTTCCCTCTTACCTTCTCCATTAATTTTGTGCCACATTTATTCCACTCACAAATAGATGTATGTATTTTTCCTTGTAAAGTGAATAAATTGTTTTTTTAAAACACATTAAATACATAGATTTTTGTGTTAATGGATACACATGTCACAAAATGAATGGAAATGGAAGAAAAGGAAGGTAGCCAGAATTACTCTTCAAAATCACTTAACAAAAAGAAAAAAGGAAAAGAAGAAAAGCTATAGTGCTTGAAATTGGACTTGTCTAAAGTCCAACCCAAGTGTATACGGGCCTTTGCCTTTTTGTTTATCCATTTCTTCTGGTTGAGGCCAGTGGGACATTTCTAGGATTTCTTCATTTCTTTGGGATGAATTTGTAATGGCCAGCCTATATAAAAGTTTTTGGGCTTAGAGCACCTCCACCCCAAAGGGCAAGGGCAAGACAAAGGCAAGGCAAAACAAGGTTTGTCACTATTCAATTGAATAGTAGCAGTCATTGCCTTTTTTGTTTCCACCCCATAGGGCAAGCGCAAGGACAATTACTATTCACTTTAATTTATTTTCTATTTTTTATACTTAAACCATTAATTTTGGTGTGGGAAGTAAAGAATATGACTAGATATTTATTTGGGAGTTTCACTAAAACACCCAAAATGGGGGCTGCAATTATAAAAAAACCCACCACCCAAAACACTTTATAAACACACCCAAAACCCATCATTACACACACTCAAAACTCATTTATAAACACACCCAAAAATATACAATTGTTGATTTTGGTGTGTTTCTATGTTTAAATAGTGCTTGGGTTTTTTTATAAATACATGTTTAGGATTGAGTTTATTTATAAATTTGTATATTTATTATATATAAAAAAAATCTGAAATTTTTTGAATTTTTTTTAAAAAAGTTGATGACGTTATTAATGACATCAGCAAACCTAGGCAACAACCTAGACAATATTTATCTTTGGGCCTGCCTAGGCTTGTGGAGCCCACCAGTTGCCTGGTTTTGCTGCTGCACGCTGGAGCCATTTGCTAGGCCTAGGCCCCCCTCCTGCCCGGGCAAAATAGGAGCGTTGGAGGTGCTCTTAAGGCGGACAATTGACCTTGGTACTCTACTCCTTTAAGTAATAGGATTGGGTTAGCTTTATCCAATGCCATTATTGTTGCTAAACAATGAATAGGAATATGATAAAAGGTAATCCTAGGTACTTTTTAATGTGCATTTTTGTATCATAACTTTTTTTTTAGTACAAGTGATAGTCTAAACTACAAGGGATGGGGGTTTCTCACACACTCTCACACAACTAAGATGCCATGGGGGTTTGAACCTGTGACATCTTGTTTGCAAATAAAGGCCCTTTTCCACTTCACTAGACCATATTGGCTTTTGTATCATAACTTAATTCTATATTTGATTGTGCATTTTTAAAGGATAACTTATATTATATATAGTTAAGGTGGGATACATAATCTAACTACAACCGTTGACCTCAAATCCAGACCTAGAAACTGGGACACTAGTGCTAATGAAGGATACTTATCGGCACTGTTTGGTAACTAAGATTTGATTGGATTAGGAAATAGGATTGTATCACATTTTGGATTGGAAATGATAAGTATCCTTCATTGGCACTAGTGTCATATGTCATGATTCCTGCTCTTGGGTTCGAGATTAGGGGGTTGGAGTAGTGGGATTAAATATCCCGCCTTTTTATAGGATAAGTTATCATATAAAAATGCACATAATACTTTTTATATATTTTATTCTGGGCAATTGAAAAAACTGAATTGTTGTTCAGTTATGGGAATATGGTGGGATTATCTTCTGTCCTATCCAAGGTCCAAAATATCAGGAGTTTCAAAAATACCGGTGGTTCAAAAACACGGATATATCGATATCGATATCGATAAAAATTGAATAAAAATCACGGAAATTGTGAGAAGAACTTGGAAATTTTTATTGAAACTTTAGAGGATGTTTACTTAGTCAATTGTCTATTATTTTATCACAAAAAATTTGAAGGAAATGCATGGCATGGTGGGTTTGAGTGATTTAAGTTGATTATGTAGCGACCTAACAAACACTGTGACTTTAGAAAATATGTAGTAATTAGTGAAAGAAAATTAAACACACCATAATTTTTAAGTTATAATAATTTACTACAATATATTACACTTGATACATATGATTAAATATATGAGCTTGACCAAAAAAAAACACAAAGGTAAAATGTATGAGTAATTTAGTACCACATAAAAAGAATTCATATTAAAGTTCAAACTTAATATCACATATAGTGAACAATATTAAAACTCAAAGTGAATAATAATACAACTCCATAATATATAATAACAACAAAATACAACTCCATAATAAAATAATAAATAACATTAAATATATGCCTAAATTTATCCTTAAGGAATTTTTTATATATGGAAATTTATCCTAGATAATATTAGCTTGCAGATTTTAAAGACCTTATAAATATTACACACTGAAGATATAATCACAAAGTCATTCGCAGCGGGCTGGATAAAGCCCAAATAATGCATGCATGTATAGGAAATTATCCTCCCCGATATTAACGCGATAATATCAACAAAAATATTGAAATATTGACGATAATTAAGTGAATATGAGCTAAAATATCTCCCACTAAAAAAAACGATATTTAATACTATGGTCCTATCCACATTCATTTTTTAACATGGCATTGGATTTAGCTAATCCAATCCTACTACTTATCATACTCACCAAACAATGTCATTATTGCGAATCCAATATAATCTAATACAATCCAATTCCAGTAACCAATTATAAAGGGCACAAAAAATGGCTAATAACATATCGATTTTGTCCCATAAAAAGTGGTCATCTTCAATCTTGAACGCAGGTTTCCTCCCTATATAGCAAGGAGCATTTGAGTACTAAAGAATTTGTCTCCAAGTTTGGAAAGGCTTACACGATAACATTTCTCATTTGTGCATCCATATATTTTTTTTGGGAATAAATCTTGGAATAAATTGCTGGCGGCCAAAAATCAAAGGACTAAAACTATAATAATTGGAATAGACACAAACTCTTATTAATTCAAATATTAGGTTCTCAATGATTGGAATCTAATTATACCTTTAATTTTATATAAGAAAATGGTAACATTTTTAGCCTTTAGATTTCCAGGAGAATTAGGAAATGGCTTATTGATTCCTGCATGGATAAGCCTTATCTAATATACACTCACACAGTAAATTCTGTAGTATAAAATGAACCACAAGGCCTTCTTGAACTTTGTCCTGCTTCAATCAAAAGAATTCCCCGTTTTCCTGCAGGAAACAAAAATGAGCCCTCCTATCAGAAATGTTGTTATGGCACTGCTAGTTGTGCTTTTCATTACAAGTACCGAGGCCGACATTCAATTTCCTACGACCAAAACAGTCAGACTCACCAACTCGTTGGCAAGCTACGTGGACATGAAGGTCCACTGTAAATCCGGTGCGCATGACCTAGGGGAGCAGATAGTTCGTCCAACGGAGAGCTATGAGTTCAGTTTCAAAACAAATTTTCTGGGAACCACATTGTTCTTCTGCAGCTTTCAGTGGGGGAATGAGTTTCATTATTTCGATGTTTACAAGAACGGTAGGGACGAATGTAGCAATTGCTTTTGGACTATTGTTGAAGCCGGGCCTTGCTTGTATGGCGATAAGAGTTTGTGCTATCAGTGGAACAAAAATTAGTTTCTTGGGAGTATCATGAGCGGACTCATTATTATTACAGATTTTTAAAAATTGAAGGGTGAATTATAATTTGTACCTTATGAAATTTGGTCAAATGTTAATAATGTTCCCCGTACTTGTAATGGCATAACTCATCCATTTGCACGTTTTGCTTTAGGTCTTACTCATGATGCCGTGTGTGGTTGGAAATTCCGCCAACTTTAATTTAGGGTATTTTGATCCAAGAATTGTAATGGTCGTTAATTTCATTTTCAATAAAATTATGTTTCTTTAAAAAAAGAAATTTGAGTAAATTATGTATTACCGACTGCTGTCGATGTTTATAAAAATCGGTTGATTATAGTTTTTCCCCTCCCAGTAGGCATTTTGTGTCAGTTTAACAGTTCATACTTCAAAAGTTTCAATGCTAGACCTGAACTATCTCATGCTTTCACTGACGTGGATGCCAAATTTGTGCAACGTGGAAAAGAGGAAAAATGAGTGTAATTGTTTATAGATAATTTAAAAAATTAAGAAAATTTATTCCAAAATAAAAGTTAATTAAACAAATTCCCAAGTCCCCGCCCCGCGCCCTCCACTCCAAGCACCCCCATGTCTTCCCTATGCCTATTAAGTGAGCTTTGATTGCATCGAGCCATTAGAATGTTGGTATTGACATGGACTAGCCTAAATTTTTTGAACTTGATTGATTACATTACATATGAGATACATGTTTGTCAAAGAAACCTAAAAACATTAGCTAAACAAAACCAAAAAATAAAATAATTGCTTATAGCGATAATGATTTTGTATAATTCATTATTTGTTTCTTTTTTAGTTTTTTTTCATTCAATTAAGTGGAATGTTAGATACATTCCCTCTTACCTTCTCTATTCATTTTGTGCCACATGTATTCCACTCACAAATAAATGTATGTTTTTTTCCTTGTAAAGTGAATAATTTGTTTTTTTATCACATTAAATACATAGATTTTTGTGTTAGTGGAATACACGTGACACCAAATGAATGGAAATGGAAGAAGAGGAAGGTTGCTAGAATTACTCTTCCAAGAATTGCGTTCATTATCAAATAAATAGCATTCTATTATTCCTTCTTAACAAGACAGTGGAAGCATAGCATATGTAGGTTAGTCCAGTTGGCTAGGGTAGTGAGCTTGCAACCTTATACCCAAGTTTGAATTCCCCTTCCCATCAGATTAGATTAATTTAGTGTAGATTATCACTTGTGGAAATAGCATCACTTGTAGATTAGATTAATAAGAGCACTGCTATTTCCATCTCCTGTCCTATTTCCCCACCCACCTTATCTTCAAAATTTTAAAGACAAATTTACCCTTTTGTAAAATGACTGCTAAAGACTTAGGAAAAACCTCAACTTATTACGGAACCCACCTATTCTACCGTTCGACAAAAAGGAAAAAAGAAAAAGAAGAAGAAGAAGAAAGCGTACGACTCCTCAGTTGTTCACTACTCCTTAATACTCAGAACTCAATTCTAAGACATTTTTCTTCTCTCTTCATTCAATCAAATTGTTTCTAGAGAAGAGAACAGCAATTAATTAATTTTTAGAAGCTACAAGGCATATAATAAAAAACTAAAAGATCCATAAAATCAAAATATTAGACTAATACAACTTCATCATCTCCATATCTCAACTTCCAATGGTTAACAAAGAGAATTAGCTTGAATTAATAACTAAAGGATAGGTTGGTGGAAATAGCAGCACTCATTAATAATTAAAGGGTTTTTTTAGGAATTATGGTGGGTGGAAAGATAAGATTGTGTTTTTCCAAATTTACATGGTGGATGGGAAGATAAGGCGGGTTGTAATTTTTTTTTTTGGGGGAAATAGTGCCACTATAACTATATATGTACAAAGATGTTAACGTATTGTATGGCTTTTTAGGAAATGAGTGAAACTAGGTTATTCTGGCCCTTTTATTGCATGGAAGAATTAGGAAATGATCTATATTCTTTCCAGCTCCGATTACCTGGAGGGGTGGAAATAGCAGCACTATAACTATACATGTACCAACATGTTAACACATATTGTTTGGCTTTTTCGGAAATGAGTGAATTGATTATTCTGGAACCTTTATTTCATGGAAGAATTAGGAAATGACTTATATTCTTTCCAGCTCCGATTACCTAATATTTAATCCACACACCAAATTGTGCACTATAAAACAGACATAACTTTGTCCAGTTTCAATCGAAAGAAAAAGAACAAGAAAAAATTGTCCTGCTTGAAAAAATGAGTCCTTCTCAGAGAAATGTTGTTATGCCTTTGCTAGTAATTCTTTTACTGACAACAAGTTCTGTGGGTGGTGCTTTCAACTTTCCTAAGCATACAGCCGTCAGAATCACCAACTTGTTAGAAAACAACGTGGACTTGACGGTGCACTGTAAATCAAATGACAACGACCTCGGGGAGCACACAATTCGTCCAAGGGAAGAGTATGAGTTTGATTTTAAAACGAATATTTTTGGAACCACACTCTTCTTCTGCGGGTTTAAATGGTCGAATGAATTTCATTGGTTCGATGTTTTCAGAACTGGCAGGGATGATTGCAGCAGTTGCTTTTGGTCTATAATTGAAGCTGGCCCTTGCTTGTATGGTGTTGATGGTATCTGCTATCAGTGGAACAAGCATTAGCTTAAATTCAAATGTCATCGTTACAATAAAGAATTCTACTCAATTTTAGCCATGATCCATTCTCTTATGGGAGAGGTTTGTCAGAAGAAAAATTAAAAAATTATGTAATCCTCGTTCGTAATGAATAGTCTGATTATTGTAATCCTCGTTCGTAATGAACAATGCTTATTGCAAACTGCAATTCTTTCTCTGCACACATACTTTCTTTCTTCTTCTTTTTGTGAGATTTGCTACCCACCCATAGGAAGTGGGGTATATATATACACACATATATATTTTTGTTTACAATTTCCTTCTATTGAGGGCACTACTACAAAAAGTGAAAAAGACGACTAGAAAAAGACGACGGTAGAAGAAAAAACCGTCGTTGTGTTTAAAAAGACGACGGTAACAAAAAACAATCGTGGATAAGTGACTTAAACAACTAAAAAACGGAAGTACTGTTGAATATTTTTTTATAACGACGCATACAAATAAAAAAGCGTCGTCTTATTAAAAAGATTTTCTTCAGAGTTAAAATCTGACCAAAAAACAACGACAGCATGTATGACAAGCGTAGTCTTTTAAAAATCAAGTGTCCTTTTTTTGGTAAAGACATGGTTGTTTTGAAAGAACTGTCGTCTATTATATGTAAAGATGATGGTTTTTTTTTAAAAAGGTCTTCTATTATGAAGTAAAGATGATGGTTGTTTTAAAAAAAGGGTCGTCTATTATGAAGTAAAGATGACGGTCATTTTTAAAAAGGGTCGTCTATTATGAAGTAAAGATGACGGTTTTTTTTTATAAAAAGGTTGTCTATTAAATGTAAAGATGATGGTTTGTTTAAAAAAGGGTCGTCTATTATGAAGTAAAGATGACGGTTTTTTTTTAAAAAGGTTGTCTATTAAATGTAAAGATGATGGTTTGTTTAAAAAAGGGTCGTCTATTATGAAGTAAAGATGACGGTTTTTTAAAAAAAGGATCGTCTATTATATATAAAGATGATGGTTTGTTTAAAAAAGGGTCGTCTATTATGAAGTAAAGATGACGGTTTTTTTATTTATAAAAAATGTCGTCTATTAAATGTAAAGATGATGGTTTGTTTAAAAAAGGGTCGTCTATTATGAAGTAAAGATGACGGTTGTTTTAAAAAAAAGGGTCGTCTATTATGAAGTAAATATGACGGTTTTTTTTAAAAAAGGGTCGTCTATTATATGTAAAGATGAAGATCTTTTTTAAAAAGCGTCGTCTTTTAAAACACACTAAAAAATAGCCGCTTAAGTGAATTCGCGCTCGACAAATTTTCAAAATTTCACCCTTCTTTGAAAACTTTATCTCTCATTAACAAGCGTCGTCTTTTAAAACACGCTAAGCTAAAAAAAGGCTACTTAAGTGAATTCGCGCTCGACAAATTTTCAGATTTTCCCCCGTCTCTGAAAACCTTATCTCTCCCTCCTTGAAACCCTCCTGCACTCTCTAAAACACCCCTCATGAAACTCTCTACAAAATCATCAAAAAATCGATATCAATGAAGGAGTTGAGAGATTGAGGTCTTTGCAGATCCATAAGATGTAGAGGGAGTTCTGTATTTGAGAATCAAAGCTGGTTGAAAGGTTTGATTTGAAAGTCACCTAATCTCTCAATACCCTTCTATATCTTGCTAGTGAATTTTGGATTAGTCTCTTTGCGTTTCTGGTATGTTCTTTGTCTCCCTAATTTCAGATTTTGTCTCTCTTGATGTGTCTGGTTTGTTTACATATTTTTTTATATTTCTGGTTTCTTTTTAGATTTTCTGATTTGGTTATCAGGAGATGAGGAGGAAGCTTGCAGATTTATAACTTTTTCTTTTGCAGGTTTTCTATGTGAGTCGTATGTTTTTTTGTTGTTGAAAATTTGTTACCTTCTCTTTTCACCATCATTTTATTTATATATTTTTCCTTTTGCAAGTTCACGGTGGTCTTTTTTATGCTCATTTTACAAGTTTTCTATGGAAATATGGACCAATGGTAAAATTTCTCTTCCACCTAATTTTTTATGTTTATAATTTTTTTTTTTTTCTCTTTGTCATTTTGATTTATTTACAGGGATGATGGAGGAGACTTCAGTTGTGCATCATTTGTATGTTTGGATGAGGAATGCTTGGATTAGGAGTACGTAGGTCTTGTTAGGAATTATGTTTGTTGTAGAATAAAGATTGGTTAACTATGTAATAACTATTGAATCTTCAAGTTTTATGAAAGAAACTATTTTTGAGTGTATATATTCATTAATAAAGCATTATGGTTGGTTTTCTAGTTAAAATTGTTGTATAGCATCATAGGAAATCAAAAAGAACTAAAATGTAGCAGTTTGGAAACTTATTAGAGGACGGTTTTTATAATAAATCATGGTCTTTATAGATAATTAACAACGGTTTTTATAAAAAAGGGTCGTTTATTATAGGTAAAGATGACGATTTTTGTAAAAAATGGTCGTCTATTATATGTAAAGATGACAGTTTTTTAAAAAGGGTCATCTATTATATGTAAAGATGACGGTTTTTTAAAAAAGGATCGTCTATTGTGAAGTAAAGATGACCTTTTTTTCAAAACGGGTCGTCTATTGTATGTAAAGATGACGGTTTTTTTTATAAAACAACCGTCGTCTTTATAAACAATCCACGACGGTTTTCATAAAAAAAACTGTCATCTTTACATACAATACACGACGGTTTTATTAAAAACAGTCGTCTTTCCTCCTATAATTAACGATCTTTACCTCTAAACAACGACGATTTTCTTTAAAAACCGTCGTCTTTAGGGATAAACAACGACGGTGAAAAGCCGTCGTAGTTTGACACCCAAATAGATGTAGGTCAATTTCACGACGGTTGGAAAACCTTCTACACGGCGGTGGTTTCCCATCGTCTATTTCGATTTTTGTAGTAGTGGGGATCCCACAAAATTAATTGAGGGACACCTTGTATGGTCCGAAACAAATTTTATTTCAACAACATGAACCATCCAGTTTTCAAGTCTTCTTGCATAGATCACCCTTTGCATTAGAAACTATTAATACATCTAGTTGTCATGAACATAATAGATGATCCCGATGGTTCTAGAAAATACTAAAACTACAACTGTCGATTGAGTTATAAAATATTTTCGAATTCAATTGATTTTTGCAAGGAAAATCTTTGAACGAATACTTCAAAAATAGACAGTTCATATTATGAAAATACAATATTTATGGGCCCACAAGGTATCCCTAAAATAAGCTTATTTATTGAAGTTCTCTATACTTGCTCATATTCTTTGTTAAAAAAAAATGAAAATACCTCATATTTTTTTATATTTATCTTCCTTATCTTGTTTTAAGAAGAAGGGAGAATAGTAATTAACCTAATACCAGACGAAAAACATATCTTTGAGATTTTTCAATTTGTACTCCTCTACTCAGAAAGGAAAGGCAATAACAAATCATAGGAGAATGAAATGTTATGAAAAAATATAGTTTTCCTTTTCCGTAAAGCCAAATACAAAAACATTTATATTGTAAATAACTTATAAACAAATTGGAAAGCTTTTAAGGTACAATGAAATTGAAGAAAACAAAATAATAGGTAAGTAAAAGCATAATAAATAATAAGTAAGAAGGTGAGTTTGGTACGGTGAAGCACGTCAAAGGCGCTGTCTTAAAGCCTTTGTAGCCTCCCTATGTGCAAGTATTGACGGTCTACAAGACTTCAAGATACGACCTCTAGAACACAAACTCAAGATCCGCTATGAGCATGTTCATAAACGGATATAGGTATCTAAGTCACATAACCACTGTGTAAGTGTATGCATTTTTGCGATTTTCTTTTGGCTACCCTTGACAATTTTGTAATAGGACAATCATTGTAATTTTCCAAGCTCTAAGTTTAGATTAAGAATTACTTCTCTAGGTGTTCTTATTTAGCTACATTATGATGGACAATATTGTGTTTGACAAAGGTAAGTTTTGCATTGCATTAACATATTCCTGAAGATTATGACTAGTCATCCTTTCTCTGTATGACTAGTGATCCTCCATATGACTAGTCATCCTTCCTCCATATGACTAGTCAACCTTTGCGTTGTAAGGTTTTCCAGGTCACTGTTTGCAGCTAGATCCTACCCACTTTTTTGTCTTATTCTGCGAAATCCTCTGCTGTCTTGTACTATTCTAACCTAGGAATTTTTGTGTAAAAACACAGGCATTCCTCATTTGGCAGCCGTCACTTTTGTAGGCAAGCTTTGGAAAGTTTCTCTGTAAACTTTCCCTTCTTCCTCAAGTGTAACCTTCATATTTTTCATCTTTGAGTTTTCCAAAATGTTTCTTTTTGAAAACTGCATTTGAAATATGAAAACCTTACCTTGCAATATCAAACACTTTCTCATATATATATCTAGGTCATATTCAAGATTGATTTCTTCAAGAAATTAGTCATTCTCATTTGAATCCAAATTTTGGTTTCTGTCTCAGTTAGAGCTTGCAAGCTGGTGCCACGGGATGAATGAGCTGGAGAAGGAGCTGCCATTGCCTTGAAGAACTGAGCTTCAAGCTTAGCTAAGTTGGAGAAGAAGATTGCACAAATGAGGTATAGCTCATCTTCCTAAATAGATCTAGGTTTTTCTTGAGCTTGCTTGTGTTCCTTTGTAAGAATCTTTTTCTACTTAGTGGATTGCTTGTTCGGTTGATGACCCCCAGTTTTTCCCAATGGTGGGTTTCTAAGTGAACAATTTCTGATTGCATTTATGTAATTTTTCTGGGTTTGTGTTCTTGGTGGTTGACTAGTCATCGTATGAATTCTGGGTTTGTGTCCTTGTAGTTGACTAGTCATCATTATCTGCTGTTTGGTGTTTACTTGATTATGATAATTTCACACACTTTCACCATAGTTGTTTCTAGCACATGGGATGCCTAGATTGACGGGTCCTTCTGAGTGTCTAGGTTGTCACTAGTAATTTTCTAGGGTTGCAAGTACATTGTGGCGTGCTCTGTGTGTATTCTTGATTGTG